AGTTTTTAAAATTATATATTTTTAAATTTTAACTGTGATAAAAAGTATAATTTTTATGAATAAAACTAAAATTATATTTCTATTTATGGGATACCATGTGCTATTTTGAGACATGCATACATTGCATAACATTCAAATCAGGGAAAACAAATCTAACTCTTCAAACATATCTTTTCTTTTTTAAAGGTGTATTTATTTATTTGAAAGGCATATTTACAGAGAGACAGAAGCAGAGAGGCAGAGCTTTTGCTTATTGAGTGGGTTGAGGAGACTGACATAGGCCCTAGTATCCATGGAGTGTACCATTGTGACAGGACTGGTTCCATGATGTCACTGTTGTCCAGTGCCCCCTCTATGTTCTCCTGCAGTTAGAGGAGACTGGTTTGTAGATGAATTACCAATTTGGGGCTTATTTTTTTGTTAGGAAGTTCATTCAGCACAGAAGGATAATTTCAGGACCCCTGTGATTAGGACCCTCTTTCTTCATTTCCTGCTGAGTTGGGGACAGTCAATCCAAGGTGGGTGGCCCTGATTTTTCTTGGTTGCTGTGGAAGGTATTATTTGCTGTACCCTCAGTGATGCACATTGTATGCTGAGTATGAATACAGTGGTTTCTGACTCTATGGGGTGGGTGCAAATTTCCCTTTTATATGGGCCTGTGGAGGTACATGAGTCCCTAGGGAGGCATTACAGTCAGCACTGATCTCAGTGCTGTGGGTGCACCAGACTCACAGGCTTCATGAACTATAATGGAATGGGGATGACCCTTCACAGTGGAAAATTGTAGCCGCTGGAGGATACTCAGAATCCCAATCTGTGTGAGGAGTGGTCTTCTTGTGTATCAAGGAAGTTGGACAAGGACTCTGATACTCCCTCTGTCTCTGTCCTTTGAAGAAGTCACTTTTCTGGGAACTAGATTCCAGGTGCCATACACCTGTCTGTGGATCTGAATCTTCCTTTGATGAAATGTACAAGAGCTCTGTGAGGAATAGTTCCCTGCAGTTATCCAGTACTGTTTTATGCACATATTTCTGTCTTTCAGCTTTTAGCAGATGTGGGCCCTAAAGGTATGGTAGGCAAAGGGGTGAGCAGACATCATAGCCAAGGATGAGCAATTACAGAACTGTATACTGCCTGAAGGAGGGAGAACCCAACATTGTACTGTGCCCATGATCACAGGGCTCTGGGATCCCTCAGGACAGACAGGCCACCCTGCTTCCCCAAGACTCCAAGTGCCTCTGGTCATTCACCTGATTCCCCTTATTGGTTGCAGCACTGCAAAGGAGGGAAGCAGGTGGAGCCTAGGGAGGAGAAGGATGTGAGCAGCTGCCTAGTCATAGACAGGTTAGGGGTCCTGCAGTGAGCAAGTCCCATCCAAGTTGCATCTCATCTAAGTTGTGAGACTATGTTTAGAAACACCTGCCTTGAGATAAGACAGGTCTCCACAAGGTTGTGACCCTCCTTCTGGCTGCCATCACAGTGCTCATCCTGGTGTACATTAGATTAGATCTGACTGACCCAGTGAGTGACCCACAATGACTTGCAGGGGTGGAGCCAGATGTGAGGTATTTGTGGTTTATGCAGTGCTGAGGCCTCTTCGGCAAGTGGGGGTGGTCATTCTGAGGGTCTCACCTGTGTCTGATATAGCCTGCCTTTTTCAGCACCACTATAGAGGGTGTGTCACAGGGTTAATGGCATCTATTTCTTAATCATGGCCAGTGGTCAGAAGGGGTCCAGTGGGTCCCTGAGTCTCAGGGGTAAGGCTAGGTCTCTTAAGGAAGGGTCCCAACGGGAGTCACCATCTTGGAAAAAATATGATCCAGAGAACACGAATTTCAGAGCAGGCCTTGAAACTGTGCTTAAGAAACAAACATGTAACTGTTCTTCCTATCTGAGACTACAGTCAAATTATGCAGGTTTCCAAAGTCTGGTGTTTTCCTGGTGTAGTATGATGGAATCATTACAATATAAGATGGAGGTGTCTTCTAATTTGATGTAGGCTTATGGGGCAGCTTTAGGTTGTTTTCCTGATGGATGTACATGGGTGTGTGCCTGTGTTAGGTTTCTTGTTCCTACTTATCCTGAAACCTTCAGTACGCTGTTGGTAATTGTAAGGCCTGCTTTGAGGTGTTTTGTGGGAAGTTAAAAGGTCAACTACAGTTGTTTAGCTGACTGGGAGAGCAGTGCAACTTCCTACTTGGGACAAACTGTGGTAACCCTTAAAACCATCTAGGACAGTTTGAAGGACAACTGTATACTCATGGGGGAAACTGTGAGCATTAAGTTTGCAATGTCTTAAGATTCTGTGTCCCCACTCAATATTGTAAATGAGGAAAGAAAAGAATCAGAAAGATTGCTGGGAAACTAAGATAGAGCGGAGGTAACCATCATCAGGAGCTAAATCCTAGCAATTATGGTGCATGTGATTGACAAGTGATGGTTCAAAGATCATAAAAAAAGAAAAGCTATATTTTAGTAGATATAAGATGCACAATAACCTATGAGTCTTTCTAGTTTAATGACTAGATGTGTTGACATGACTTTACGTATGTAAGTTTTTATCACTTGAACTAATGATTCCATTAAACATAGAACCTGTTATGAATTCAATAAAATGCTAATAAACTTGTGCTAATTTCCAATCTGAAGTAATTTTTCCCATTTGTTCTCAAGCCTCACAGTGGGCAGCATGATCAAATTGCCTCAAATACACAAATATCAAAGAAACTTGAATTCATTTGTTTTAAACTTGTATTTGCTTGAAAGGCACAGACAGATACAGAAAAATATTCCATCCTCTGGTTCATTTCTCCAAATATTCACAACAAATGCTAAGTCAGATCAAAGTCACAAGAGAAGAACTCAATCAGTGCATCTCACGAAAGAAGCAGGCATCCAATCACTTGAATAATTCAATATTGTTGCATCCCAGAGTGTACAACAGCAGAAATCAGAAGCAGAATCAGGATGTAAACCCAGGCATTCATGTATGAGGTGAAGCAACACCAAGTGGTGACTTAACATGCATTCCAAATACCTACTCAATGGTGAGCAACTAGACATACAAACATGAGGCCATCCTGTAATAGTAGACTGAGATGTTGCAGAAGATCAGGCAAGATTAGGCAAGGCTGGCATAGATCAGCAGCACTGTCCACCAGATCTCCAGTATCAAAATTCACATCTAAAATATGTTTTTTAAAAATTTTATGGCACCAAAGTGCTGTCATTTCAAGCAATTAGGGTTGCCACCATTATCAAATAAAAGCTGCTGAATGTTTGTTCTAATTGGATACATATATAGTGCATTGAAGGAAAGTGTTTTGAATACCCGTAGTGATCAAACACACATTAGCATTTTAGTCTGAAATATGGAATACACACTGAAATAATGTTAATAACTCTGAGAATTGATTTTCAAATTTGATTTTGTAGAAGCATATAATACCATATCCATGTCATGATTCACCTTTTCATTATTAACATTATGCTGCATATCTTGATCAACACCTTTTTTTCTTACAAAAAGAGCTTTATTATATGTTTTTATTCTGTTCTCCAACAACTACATTTCATGATTTTACTTTTTCTCATACTGGAAGAATATGTACCAACATCTATTTGCAAGAATTTAATTTTTTAAGTTTTAAATTTTATTTCAAAAAATAGTCATGACAAACAGCTAAAACAGTTTTACACCTCAAATCAAAATTTACTTTGACAAGGATTCCAAGGTGGCAGAATAGAGAAAGGGCAGACTACTCTAAGCAAGAAGAAAATAATAAAAAAGTGGAGAATGTGCCTTGTCAGGGGTAGTTGGAGGGAAAACTGCAGTGGAGATTCTGCAGAAGGAGGAGATATTGTGGATCTGTGTGTGGAAGGTGCAGATGTGCAGCAATGATCACAGACATAACACACAACCCCAGAAGCTGAGAGCTGGAGAAAGAATCAGCTTTGGAGAGTGAGGTTAGATCAGACTGCAGCACCCCATGCTACTGGTGATAAAGCCAGAGTGAGAGCCTAGAGGCCTACACTTTGTGTCTGGCCTGGAGCCCTGAGGGGAACAGGATGCACACCCACCCAGGAAAAAAAGGGGGCATTATTCTTTCTATTCATCTCTACTTCCTCCCCACAACAGTGCCTGGCAACCAGGTGAAAGAGGGTGGGTGTCATTTTGTACATAAGTACATATCAGCTACAGCAGCTCGTCTGTACTTGCCCAGCAACTGGCAAGGACAGATGTCATTTTGCCAGCTCCCAGCAATGGGTGCAGATACAGTGACATTCTGACATCAGTACTGGATGCAGAATCTCTTGCATGTGCCCAACAACTGGTGGGCAGAAGTCATCATTTTGAAACAAGTAAGGCTGTGTCCAGCATGCATTGTGCATGTTTGGGATCCAGTATTTTACCAGAGGGAAAAATACATGTTCTCAATAGACTTTGAGTCTGTTGGGATGATTGACAGGGGGCTAGGCTCCCATGTACAAGTGCAAGGTGCCCCTAGCCTCTCAACACATCACTGGCTCTGAAGCTCAAATTGCCTAGGCAGAATATTCACATGCAGTTGGCTCTGGGAACATCTCTACCTCTCCATGAATAGGACCAGGCTAGTGGGGCAGAGTGGATCCTCTGCACAACATGACTGTGCCTGCCCCATGGGCTGACACTGTGTGAACTCTGTGACTGAGTGGGTGCAAGGTGTTTCTGGGTTTCTGGGCAATCATTGTTTACAGATCCACACATTCTGAGCTCCCTGATTGGGGTGGGATATCCCAGAGGATCCGTGCTCATCCTGAGGACTGCACAGATCCTTTGTGCAGCTCATGAATCAGCATGGTGGAAGGATGCATCCACTGAGGCCTAATACTCAGGCACTGATCACCTTAGAAGAGGGGGAGGTGTGTGATGATGCCAGCATAGGTGATCATCCACTCCCCATTGCTGACAATAAGGAAAACATACCACATCCAACATGGGTGTCACCCTGGATACTCACCCCACTCTGGAGCACAGACTAGAGCCCTCAGGCCACAGCCAGCTCAAGCATCTGGGTATTCACTAATATAGCAGAAGCCACACAGGCATAGCAGAAAAATAAAAGCCATCAGAGGAAAGATCCAACAAGTGTCTCCACAAATGCCTAAAAATAAACTCAGAAATTCAAGAAACAAGAATAAGGAAGACAACACGAGTTCCCCAAAGGAATACAAAAACATTCCAATATTAGACTTTGAAGATGAAGAGATTTATAAAATGTCTGAAATGGAACTCAAAAAATTAATTAAAGGATTATTCAGAAGCAATAAGAAAAAAAGTTCAAAAATTAAAGAAATCCATGAATGACATGAATGAAGACTTCTCCCATCAAATTGAGATTTTTGAGAGAACCAGAAGGAATTCCAGGCTCCTAGCTTTGTCCTGGTCCATTCCCGGCTGTTGCAGGCATTTTGAAAGTGAACCAATAGGTGGGAGCACTCTCTTTTCTCTTTCGTTTGTCTCCCAATTCCCTTGCTGGCTTCCTTTCTTCCTTCCTCTCTCCTGCTCTAACAAATTAATAAAAATATTTTTAAAAATTAATAAAGGCAAACCATGTTAGGGCTAAATAGGCCAGGATATTATCAGGGTTGAGGATGTTGCCCCAATACCAGGTGGAGATTAAACACCCTTGTCAATAAGGCCTTGCTCTGCCATGCATGCAAAGCTCTATAGATGTGTATAGTATTCTCATACTTACATAAAAGACAGACACATTTAACTTAAAAGCATATATAGCAGGTTATACTTGTACCTTTAAAGGTAAAAAAAATCACAAATTCTATTTAATTCTCTCCACAACCTAATGGGTTGTTGTGCATCACTTAGGGGTACCTGCATGTACTTTTTGTTAATATTTTATTTTTTGAAAGGCAGAGTCACAAAGGGAGATACAGGGAGAAAGAGTTTCCATCAGTTGGTTCACTCCCCAAATGGCAGCAACAGCCTCATCTGGGGTAATCCAAAACCAGAGGTCAGGATCTTATTTTGGGTCTCCCACATGAGTGCAGGGGCATAAGCACTTGGGCCTTCTTCTACTGCTTTCCCAGGCCATAACAGAGATTTGCATAGGAAGAGGAACAAGACAGAAGCTGGTGCCCATATGGGATGGCAGCGCCATAGGCAGAGGCAAAGACTACCCCCCTCTGCTCTGGCTCCCCCATGCATGTACTTTTGAGATTTTGTATTTTCTAACTTTACTGAACTCATTTATTGCTTCACTACATTTTTGGATTATGCCATCAAAATTTTGTATGGATCTTTTTATTTTTAGAGATATCTTAAGTTCCTATTAAAATTAAGAGGAAGGCATAGAGATTTTCCAAGAATCATTCTAAAACAGGAACCTCTGCATGTCCCAACAAAACATGTCCCATGGGAGAATATTAAAGACTAAAACTGAAGACACAAACAACAGGTTCACCTCACTGATAATGGTCTCCAAACTCTGGGCCTCTCCTGTCTCGTAGGACTCTGTACAGCTTTCTACACAATAAACTCACTTTGGCTTTGCACTCTTGAACTTAGCTCTTTATTTCTATACTGAGATATAAAATCATCATGCAAAAAATCAATACCTTTGTATTCACAGAAAATGCCATGGCTAAGTAAGGACTTGTAAGGTCAGTACCATTCACAATAGCAACAAAATATTTAAGTACCTTGGAATAAATTTAACCAAGGATGTCAAAAATCTTTGCAATGAAAATTACAACATATTAAAGCAAGAAATCAAAGAATACACAAAAAAATCTTCTATTTTCATGGATAGGAATAATTAATTTAATCAAAGTACTCATACTATGCATATCAATTTACATATTCAAAATGATGCAAATAATAAGAAACAATGCTAAAATTATTAGAGAAGACAAGAGACCCTGAATAGCTACAGCAATTTTACACAAGAAAATCAAAGCTAGTTCCAGCACAATACCAGATTTGAAAACATCCTACAGGGCAGTTACAATCAAACCACCTGGTATGGGCACAAAACTACACATGAAGATGAAGGGAACAGAATAGAAACCCAATAAATAAATCCACACTTCTAAAACCAACTAATATTTGACAAAGGAGCTAACATTAATCCTTGGAGAAAGGACAGTCTCTTTCAACAAAGGGTTGTAAGATTATTGTATCTCCAAATGCAGAAGTATGAAACAAATGGCTATATAACAACTTATACAAAAATCAGCTCAAAATAGATCATGGATCTAAATATACAAACTGATATAATCAGATTACTAGGGGAAAATGGGGAAACTGCAACACACTGGCATAGGCAAAGACTTCTTTGAAAAGACCCCAGAATCACAGGCAATAAAAGCAAAAAATAGAAACATGGGATTACCTCACGCTAAGAATCTTCTGCACTGCAAAGGGAATACTCAGCAAAGTGAAGAAGCAACTGAGAGAATGGAAGAAATTATTTGCAAACTATGCAACTTAAAAGGGATTAATATCCAGAATCTATAAAGAGCTCAAGGAACTCAACAACAAGAAAACAAACAACCCAGTTAAGAAATGAGTAAAGGACTTGATGAGGCATTTTTCAAATGATGAAATCTAAATAACCAATAGACACATGAAAAAATTCTCAAGATAACTATCCATCAAGTAAACGCAAACAACAAGCACAATGAGATTTCACCTCACCCCAATTAGAACAGCTTTCATAAGATATCAAAAAACAATAAATGTTGGTGAGGTTGTGAGGGAAAAGGTTCCCCAATCCATTGTTGCTTGAAATGTAAACTGGTCCAGCAACTGTGAAAGATAGCTCAGGAATCTGGAAATATGTCTACCATATGACCCAGCCATCCTACTTCTTAGAATATACTCAAACAAAGTGAAATCAGCATATGGAAGACTTATTGGTACCTCTATGTTTACTCCAGTTCAATTCACTGTAGCTAAGAAATGAAATCCAGGCAAATGTCCATCGACCAATAGTTAAAAAAATGTGGCATATGCACACTATGGAATACTATTCAGCTATAAAAACATTGAAAGTCTGCTGTTTGCAGCAAAATGGATAAAATTGGAAAGCATTATACCTAGTGAAATAAACAAGTTCCAGTAAGAAAAATATTTTCCTGATTTGTAATAACTAATAGAGTACCGAAATTTAATGTATGAGTGAAATTGACATTTTGTGATTTGATTATTGTTTACAACACAAGTCTCTGCTGTTGAAGAACAGTGTTTTTGTTTTTTTTTTCTCCTTATTATTACTTGTTGAATTGTTTTCTTAGTAGAGGGTTAAGTTTATGATTATAAAATAAACTGAAGTATATATCATTGTAAAAATTAAAAGAATAAGTAAGGAATGATGAGGAAAGGTAGTGTGGGTATGATGAGAATACAACTAAATCTACATATATATGAAATACATGAAATTTATTCACATTTAATAAATTTAAAAATTATTTTAAAAAAACAATGTACAGCGGGTTTTTTAAAAAATTGTTAAAACTGTCATTCCTTAAAATGCCACTTATCTACTAGCAGTGTTGGTTATTTTTTAAGCATTGACGTCCCCCAGATAACTTCAGTTATGTAAGAGAAGAAGCCACTTGCACCCTTTCTTATCTTGCAGCATCCCTCACTCCATTCCAACACCAATGGTGGTAGTTCAATATATACGTTCAATAATGTGTTCCACATAAGGTGAATTAAATGTGTTCTTAAAGCTTATTGAGAACTAAGTGCATGCTAGCCTCTTTTCAAGCACTTTAGAAAGATTAACTTCTTTATTTCTCACATAAATCCGAGGAATCACAGCTTTTGTTACTCCCATTTTTCACAGAATAAAACTGGGATTCATTAAATAATCTGGCTAAGGAATAAGAAACTGACAGAGACAGAATGAAATCCCAGCTGGTTGAGTACATGTTCCATTTTACCACCCAACATTGGCTCTGAATGGGCCTATTTACTGAGCTCTGTAACTGTGTGGCCAAGTTCTTACAACCTGACTTCTGATTTGCAAGAATTAAAAGTCCTTGTTTCAATTGAATTTTCTGTAATTCACTCTTTCCCTCAAATATAGAGCACAATCAAGCCATCTGCAGGTGAGAGAAATGTGCAGCTCTGGAAATACAGAAATTCAGTTCCTTGCACCACATTCTCCTGGGCATCAGTGAGGGTGGCAGGAAAGCTGCTCAACCTCAGGGTGGCAAACCATGCGCTGCCAAAAATGCATTTCAGTTCTGCTTCTCATTGTTCAATCTCTTCTGTTCTCCCTCATCTCTCCCCCAACTCTGACCAAATGAATAAGGAATTGTCATTTCTCTTAAGCAGCAATATTCAACTGATACATGTGAGACCTTCACAGGGATTTAAATCTGAGAATGTATATCATCTTGGAAATCTGGAATGTGCATAATAGGAAATCTAAAATGCATCTGGAAAGGAGGCAGTGTGACTGTCCTCAGCAGCTGCTCTCAACCCTGACTACATATTGGAATCACACAGGACAGATTTTAAAAATACTATGCCTAGTTTCCCACCTCCAGGGACTATGATTAGATTGGTCCCAGGTTTACCCTGGAGATCAATGTGTTTTAAAAGCTGCCTAGATGATTCTAATAGTCACCAAAGCTGAGAATGTTTGGTCTTGGGTATGATTGTTGTAGTGAACCTTCATTCACAGATGCCTTTATTCAAAGGTGAAAACAATCGATGTTATGACTCACCAAGTTCAATTTGTATGCATCTCTGCAATCTGGGATGCTTCACACATGCTTTGTTCTAACCCTGGTGTGCCTAGAGGATCTTATCATTCATTTCTGGAAATATTTTTTAAGATTTATTTATATATTTGAAAGGCAGAGTTACAGGGAGGCAGAGGCAGAGAGAGAAAAAGGTCTTCCATCTACTGGTTCACTCTCCAGATGGCTGCAACAGCAAGAGCTGCCCTTATCTGAATTCAGGAGCTTCTTCTAGGTCTCTCACATGGTTGCAGAGGCCCAAGGACTTGGGCCGTCTTCTACTGCTTTCCCAGGCCATAGCAAAGAGCTAGATATGAAGGGGAGCACCTGGGACTTGA